AATACTTAGAGATTAGGCGCCACAATACAATTACCTTAAATCATCTGAATTACCTGTTCTGGTAAATAATGCTGGATTTCAAGAGTCACACCAGCTCCTTTTAGCTAGACTAGGATCACACTTAGGTGGTTTCCTCTGTCTCTTTTCTCCTGTGCTTTGATCTATTTCCTACTAACTGCCTAAAACAGAGCCTTCCCCATAAGTGAAAGAAGCTCCTGGTCCATTTTACTCTGGGTTTGAAAGGTTGCACAGAAGGGAAGTGTGAGAAGGGACAGATCTAAGATAGGCGAAGCCGAGTTGGATTGAGTCATGTGGAAGGAACAGTCAGAGGAGTCTCGTGGCTCTTCAGTATCACTTTTGTGTTCTGTTACTAGATGGAGGCAGCCTTGGAAAGCATGGTCTCAGGACGGAGTCAGGCGTGGGTTTCAGATGACTGGCTTGAGGACGTCCATGTGGCCTTGCTGAACTTTTTTGAGAACCCCACTGTGATCCAACACACTTTCACTCGGCCTTCCTTCCTTCCCGCTCCCCTTCCCTCACGGTCAGAGATACATCATGGTTTGACAGCTTCCACAACTTCTCTTGGCTCCTCCTCACTTCCTCTACAGATGTCTACCCTAGTAATTTCTTTTCTTTCTTCTCCCCCACCTTTTTTAAGATTTTATGTATTTATTTGCCAAAGAGAGAGAAAGAGAGGACAAGCAGGGGGAGCAGCAGGCAGAGGGGGGAAACAGTCTCCCTGCAATGTGGGGCTTGATTCCAGGACCCTGGGATCAGGACCTGAGCTGAAGGCAGAAGCTTAACTGAGCCAGCCAGGCATCCCCCTTAGTAAACTTCCTGCATATCTAATTCCATCTTGGTGCCCGCCTCTCGGAGGACCCAGCACAATACTGCCCGGAAAGGGCAAAGGAATGCTGTTTTCAGTTCTAATATTCTCCATTACCGAGATTTGCCAGTAGGAAAACGGATCAGAAGAAACATTTAAAAAGAAAAGAAAGAACAAAAAGCCTGTCAATAAGTCAAGAGAAAGCTGTTGAGAAGGATTAAGATTAGATAAAATAGAGATGATAGGGTAGGAGATACAAGAAGATAAAATGATTTAAAAATATTCGAACAAGCATGACGCGAAGGTGGGTAAAATCAGAATGCACGGTTGTGTGGTGGCACGCTGGCCCCATAAGGCCTGTTTCGTGGGCCTTCACTTGTCTCTGGCTGAGGCTCAGTCGTGGGCTTCCCCTTTAGCTTACTAGCTCACTCTCGTAGAATAAAAATCCTCCTTTGGAGTGGCAATTTAGTAACTGAAATTGTCCAGTTTGATGTTTAATCAAAACTCCATCTTCATTCAAGTGAAAACCTTTTCTTCTTACCTATTGACGGGGACAAGAAGGATCCTACGGCCTCTTAAATTCTAGACAAAATCCGTACTCTTGTCTCTTCTGCTCATTCTAGTTGCCAAAGCAAGTCACGTGGCCAACTCCAAAGCTAAAATTCAAGGAAACAGATTTATTCCTGAGTGATAAAACCTGTAAATTACATGTGAAGTGTGTGGATAGAGGGAGGAACAAAGGTTAGGGCCAGTAATTCAGTCTTCTGTAGTGCGGAGGGGAGAAAGTCTCTTAATTAGCTGTGCTTGGCTCCTGTGTCCATCCCTTGACCAACAGTCCCTGAGGCCAGGGTGGGGACATGGTAGTATGATTGGCAACGCTAACAGGACCCTGTGCTTAGAGTGAGGAAGAAGAGCTTTTTCCCCAAAAGAAGGAGATGCTGATCTGGGAAGAAAGGAGGAGTACTGGAACCAAGATAAGCAACGTCTGCTACTGTGCCTTGGCTTGCTGGTCCTTGTAATCGCTCTTTCACACAGGTCCTACTAATATCCTCTTTTCAGAGCTGAGAAAATCGAAGTTGAGAGAGGTTATATAACTTGCTCAAAATGACACATCTTGAGTGATGGAACTTTTTGGATTAAAAAAAATAGAGGTACCGGGACGTGGCTGGCTCAGTCGGTAGAGCATGGGACTCTTGATCTTGGAGCTGGGAGTTCACAACTCACATCAAGTGTAGAGATTACAAAAAAAAAAAAAAAAAGGTAGCTGGGGGGGTGCGCCTGGGTGGCTCAGTCATTAAACTTCTGCCTTTGGCTTGGGTCACGATTGTGGAGTCCTGAGATCGAGCCCAGCTTCGGGCTCTCTGCTCAGTGGGAAGCTGGCTTCTCCCTCCCCTACTCCCCCTGCTTGTGTTCTCTCTCTTGCTGTATCTCTCTCTGTCAAATACATATATAAAATCTTTCTTTTTTGAAAGATTTTATTTTTTATTTATTTGACAGAGATCACAAGTAGGCAGAGTGGCAGGCAGAGAGAGAAGGGGATGCAGGCTCCCCGCTGAGCAGAGAGCCCGATGCGGGGCTCAATCCCAGGACCCTGGGATCATGATCTGAGCCAAAGGCAGAGGCTTTAACCCACTGAGCCACCCAGACGCCTCCATATATAAAATCTAAAAAAAAAAAAAAAATGAGGCACTTGGGTGGCTTCATCGGTTAAGTGTCTCTTTTTGGCTTAGGTCATGATCTTGGGTCCTGGGATGGAACCCTGTCTTGGAGTCCCTGCTCAGCGGGGAGTCTGCTTCTCCTTCTGCCTCTCCCCTCCTGGCTTGTGCTCTCTCTCCCTCTCTGCCAAATAAATAAAATCCTTAAGGAAAAAAAAATAGATTTATCTATTCATGAAAGCTACAGTAGTCAAGAGAGTGGTGGTATTTATTGAAAGGATAGACACCAAGATCAATGGAACAGAATACAGAGTCCAGAAATAGACACACCCATTTATTGTCAACCAATTTTTAATAAAAGCACAAAACCAATTCGTTGTAGGAAGGATAAACTTTTCAGTAAATGGTTTTGAAACAAATAACAACCATACACACGCACACACACACATGTGCACACACACACACACACACACACAAGAAGAGAAGAGAAAAAAGAAAAAAAAAGAGGAAAGAAAAAAAGAAAAAGAATCTTGACCTATACTTTTCACCTTAGGCAAAAATGGATATGCAAAAGCCTCGCAATGGATCATAGACCTAACTGTAGAATGTAAAACTATAAAGCTTCTAGAAGAAAATGTAGAAGACAATGTTTGTGAACTTGGATGAGGGAAAGATTTCTTCGATATGACACTGAAAGCATGATTCATGAAAGAAAAAAATTGTTAATTGGACTTCATCAAAATTAACAACTTTTATTGTGTGAAATGACCATTAAGAGAATGAAAAGACAAACCATAGTCTAGGAGAAATAGTTTTGAATCACATATCTGACAAAGGACTTGCATATAGAACATGTAAGAATTTTTAAGACTTATCAATGAGAAAACCACCTGGTTAAAAATGGACAAAAGATTCTTTTAAAATTCTCTATATGAATTTATGTATATGTATATATATATATATATCCTTTTAAAAATGATTATATTTATTTATTTGAGAAAGAGAGAGAAAGCAAGCAAGCAGGGAGAGGGGCAGAGGCAGAGAGAGAGGACAAGCAGACTGTGCTGAGTGCAGAGCCCAACATTGGGCTTGATCCCACAGCCCTGAGATCATGAGCTGAGCTGAAACCAAGAGTCAGTCGCTTAACCATTTGAATGACCCAGGTGCCCCATATATATCCTTTAAGTAATACTTTATTAGTATAATCCGAATTTTCTGCATGACATAGACATTAAGGGGGATAATTTTTAAAATTTCATACAGTTGAGCAATTTTAGAGGCTGCTTTTGTTATGTATCACATAACAAGGTAAAAATATAAGATGTAGAGGTTTTCTGCCTTTCTGATACTTATTTTTTTTAGCTAAGCTGTCTAAAAAAGTAGTCAACATGGATTTAGTTAAAAAAAAAGTTCTTCTGTCTTGCCATTAAATTTTTACTATTACAAATTTATTTTTATGTCATTTATTATTTGATACAATTTTTAAAATTGTGTTTTATCTTAAAAAATTTTTATTTTAATTTCAGTGTAGTTAACATACAGTGTTACATTAGTTTCAAGTGTAAAATATAGTGATTCAACAATTCTACACATAACTCAGTGCTCGTCATAATAAGTGTACCCTTAGTCCCCTTCATGTATTTCACTCATTGCCCCAACCACCTCCCCTGTGGTAAACATCAATTCTCTATAGTTAAGAGTCTGTTTTTTGGTTAGACTTTTTTTTTCTTTATTTGTTTCTTAAACTCCACATATGAATATTTGTCTCTCTCTGACTGACTTATTTCACTTAGCATCATACTCTCTAGATCCACCCATGTTGTTTCAAATGGCAAGGTTTCATTCTTTTTTATGAGTAATATATATATATTACATATATAATATATATTTATATATCAAGTCTGAGCTGGGCTCTGTGCTCAGCGGGGAGCCTGCTTCTCTCTTTCCCTCTGCCCTTCCCCCTGCTCGTGCTCTCTCTCTCTCTCTCTCTTTTTAAATATTTTATCTATTTATTTGAAAGAGAGAGAGAGAGAGAGTGGGAGAAAGAGCACAAGCAGGGGGAGAAGCAGGCTCCTGACCGAGCAGGGAGCCTGATAGTGGGGATCGATCCCAGGACCCAGGTGAAGGCAGGTGCTTAACTGACTGAGACACCCAGGTGCCCCAGTAAATAAAATCTTAAAAAATAAAAATAAACTGCACTCCTCTTGCTTATGCCAGTGTTCCTGGAAACACTTTCCCAGCTCCCGGCCCCCCCTTGCACGGGTGACTTGACCTCATTGTAAACCCAGTTTCATGGAGTGTCTGTCCCCCTCTGGAGATCCATGTTCCTGATCTGCTTTTCCGCCACCAGATAACCCTACAAACTTGTGCCTGCCTAGACCCCACACTCGCTTCACCCTGACATAAGTTCTTCTTCCCTCTGCTTCTTGCCTGCTTGGAATTTTGTTTTCTGCCTGTGTGCCAGAGGGAAAAAATGTATCATAATGATGTACCCGCCATGTCTCCCCTCTTGTCTGCAGGAAGGCTGAATGCTTTGTGTGCTCGGCTCACTCTAGAGGCCTTGTTGAATTAAGCAGAGTGCCTGGCAGGGAAGAGGATGAAAATGCTGAGAGAAGACCAAATTGCTCTCCCCCACCGCAGGCGGAGGGTGAACCTTGAAAGAAAAGTTCACAAGAAGGTTGAAGAGGCAGAAGAGATGGGTGAGCTATAGGCTGTAGGGCTTTTGAGGAAAGAGAAACTTGATGCATATTTGAAAGGAAGGTTTCCTGTATGACCTGTACAGGTATTGTTGTCTTTGCCTCCCTAAGAAGCTGGCTGTGTGGGAGCTTAGAGGCAGTAAGTGCCGAGGTTGGCCTTAAGGCAAGGGCAGAATGACCCCAAACAGCCCAAGTAGTTTTAGGTGGGAAGAGTGAGGCAAGGGAAGGCCTCCCAGTGGCATTTGCTCAGGCCTCGGGGATTCTTCAGAAAGCCTGCAGGAAGAAGCTACGCCTCAGAGCAGTCCAAGAAAGAGAGACATGAGGGCGTTTACCTGCCTGCCCCCTCCTGTCTCCATTTCCTTTGGCCAAGGTTTCCCCGTACAGGGAGCTAAACCCCCTGAACTCCCCGCGGGTGTGGTCTGGCCACTCTGTGACCCCCCTCAGAAAATCAAGTTCACACCTTGCGGCTTGGCTGTTTCACTGAAGTCTGGAAGTGGGGTGACTTGCATGGGTGGGGCACTGACTGCCTGAAAGACCGGAAGAGGAAGCGGAGGGAATCTGAGAAGGTTGGAAGCATTTGTCCCTGAAACTGAGAAAAGCTTTTATTTATATCTTGCTCCAAATTGTATTGTGGTTTTTTTTTGTTTGTTTGTTTGTTTTGTTTTTTGTTTTTTTTAAGAGAGAGGGAGAGAGGGAGAGAGAGAATCATAAGCAGGCTCCATGCCTAGCACAGAACATGACTTGGGGTTCCATCTTGTGACCCTGAGATCACGACCTGAGCCGAAATCAAGAGTTGAACGTTTAGCCAACTGAGTCACCCAGATGTCCCAATGAATCATGTTTTTAAGTGCAAAGTTAATAAATGTATGAACTGATGTGTTATCATAAAGACTTGAAAAACTACTGGGGAAAACATTCCCTAATGCTAATTGATAATACCCCAGAAATCTTATCTTTAGAATTCCAGATTATGGGGTGTCTGGGTGGCCCAGTTGGTTAAGTGTCCAACTCTTGGTTTCAGCTCAGGTCTGATCTCAGGATTGTGGGATCAAGCCCAACATTGGGCTCCCCACTAAGCAAGGAGTCTGCTTGGTTTTTCTCTTCCCCTCTGCCCCTCTCCCCAAAATAAATAAATAAATCTTAAAAAAAAAAATCTAGATTATAACCCTAGCACACAGTCCTACCTGGTGGGAGCTTCGACCATTTTGGTTTAAAAAAAAAAACAAACAAGTTGTGTAATTACTCAATAATACATATAATATTTTTATTAGTTAAAAAAAAATCAAGCAGAAATTGCCCAAGTGAAGGCAGTTGTTTTAGACTTTTCTCTGCCCTTTCTTAAACTCAGCGCTGAACTGAAAAAGGACATGATTTAATTGGCAGATTTGGGGACAATAAAGCAGGCATGCCCAGTTCATTTGCATCCACTCTCCTCCTTGGAATCGAGCGAGCACGAGGTCTGCTCTCAGGGCAGCCTGACGCCCCCACCCACAGGGAAGCAAGTCCCCTTTGGACGAGACCTGCTGGCTCTCACTCCAGCTGGGTGTCGGGAAGCTCTTCTGACTCAACCCAGCTTTATCAGGAGCTAAGTAATACTTGGGCCTTCTTCGTCCACTCCTTTATCTTAATTCTTCATTTGCTTTAAACTCAGAAAAGGAGACAGGGTGCTATTTATTGGGTTCTGCTTCAGTGTTCCAGCCCGTTGTATGCTGGCCAGAAAGTGGACGTGTAAGAAATAAGGTGCACAATTAGGGAGAAGCCCGTGAATACCCGGGGAGTGACGGAGGCCTCTGGAGTGGCAAGGGTTTGGCCTTGGCCCTGCGGTCTTGTTCCTTAGTGTGCATGTAGGACATTTTGATCTTGGCAGTGTGTATAGGCTTGCATTGAGCCAGGTAGGTTTTCATGGTGGTGCACTTGGCTCTGAACAGTGGGGGCCTGGGAAAAAAGGCCTTGGAAAAGCCACTCTGAATCTCTAAGAGGGCCTTGGCAAGGGCACAGAGGCCATAGAGAAGGACTTAGTGAGGCCAGCAAGCTGAAGAGGCCTTAATAAGCAGTTCAAGCCGAGGCAAGGATTCAATTATAGGGAGAGAGAAAGTCTTTTCATATACTGCCCTTTTAGATATTAAAGGAGTAGAAAAGTATTTTCTCTTTTTAAACAGTGGGGGCAGCTGGGTTCTCTTTGGACCAGAGAGCACGGGTGAGAGACGAGTTTTCAATGTGCTAGTACTAGGTCTGGGAGGGTAATGTGAACAAACAGCTCCAATTTTAATTCCTCTTTTTTATGTTGCTTTGAACTATCTTCAAGGGCAAAAGTGGATGGACTAAGTTTGCATTGATGTGGCTCAAGAATCCCTCCCTCTACTTGTCCTCAAGTTGCTAGACGCTGGTTATTTAAATATGATGGAGAAATCCTCCCAGGTAATGGTTTTCTTAGGCCTAAGGAATTCCACTAGAAGGGGGTGGTGGAAAAAGCCCCTGCAGCACAAGAAGAAAAATGCTTCCTGGTTATTCTGGGAGCTCTGTTACTGGACGGAATTCACCTTCATTGCAACGCTATGGTGCAGGCACCTAAAGGTCAAAATGGCCATGGAAATGAAAAGGTTCTGATCAGCAGGGTGGGAAAGAACAGCTCCACAAATAAGGTCGAATGACTGAAGGTGTTGCTACTGCACATTTCTGCCTTTGCAAGAAGGCCCCCCCTCCCACCAAATGCCTTCCCAGAGGTGGGGCGTCCTGGTTATGGTAAGTGCAAGGTGCCATTGTGCAGAAATTAACCTGTAGCTAGTAGATTTCTCCTAACTGGGTTTTAATTCACAGTGCACATGTTCTGGATTCTTGGTCTCAATCAAATGGCTTCTTGGTGAAGCTGTTATCTTTGCGATAGTCTTTGGCAACCCAAAATGCTGGTGCTGGCTATTTTGCTTGAGATACTTGTGAAAAAATTGTCTTTTCTGGCTATGGTATGTGTAGAGCTGGTGCTATATGATCAATTTGCATCTTCTACTAAATCTATAGACTCTAGGAAAGAGCACATTACAGACTTGCTGGTGTAACTGTTGTTTTCTAATTTAGGGGTCTTGTAGGAGCTGCCGCCATTCCAGTGAGATCTGGCTTAAGCTGTAGTTACTAAAGATTCCTGACTCAACCCAGACATTGAAATCCCCTCCAACTGAGACAGAGCGGAATAAAAAATTGGGGAAGATGAATTTTGGACCTTAATTTTTTTGAATTTTAACCCACAAAAACAAGATAATTTTATTTTGAACCTTCCTTTCTTTGAACTTTCATGTCTCATGATTTGGATTTCATTCCTTGGACCTTACTTTCTCCCTAACCATTTGATCAAAGGAAGAGAAGAAGTTAATGTTAACAAATCTTTTCCCCTCAACATTATTGGCATTTTGTTATTGAGGTTTTGTTATGCATATTAATATTGGAATCACGTAGTTTTGTCATATAACCTCCATCCTGATCCTCTGATTTCCTCTGCCGACAACACGGACAGGCATGATAAAAACGGGTGACAGGAAAATGAAAATTTCAACCTTGGATACAAAAAGGCATTGAACTATTTAATTAATGCATTATAGGGAACTATTTTGGAACCTTTTGTGAGTGAAATCTCTTCCCCATCACTGCTCCTGGGAGGACACCAAGTTGGCGGGTATAAGAGGGAAGGGTGGCCTCTTGAAGATGGAGCAAGACTGTTCTGATAGGCTGCTGGGACCCTCTCTTAAGGATGTCAGATACACCTCTGGTTGACAGAGATTTAATGTCTATGCCAGTGGTTTAAGAGAACCAAAAAATCAAGGGGCTATTAGTGGGAGAATAATTCTCCCAACTTTTGATATTACCTTCTGTCATAGGCTGAGTGGTTCCCCAAACATGTCCATGTCCTAATCCCCAGAACCTGTGAATATCTTACCGTATAGCAAAGACTTTACAGATGTGAGTAAGTTAAGATCCTGAGGTGGGGAGGTTATCCTGGATTATCTGGTTGGCCTGATGTGATCACAAAGGTCCTTATAAGAGGGACACAAGAGGAGTAAGAGTCAGAGAGGAAGGTGATGCGATGACAACCAGAGATGCAACTGATGATCATTGGCAATGGAGGAAGGAGACACAAGCAAAGAAGCACAGGCAGCCACAAAGGACAAAAAACCCAACAATAACAACAACAACAACAAAAAACCTGCCAGCACCTTGACTTTACCTCAGTGAAATGGATTTTGGACTTCCTACCTCCAGAACTACTAGAGAGCAAAGTTGTGTTGTTTTAAGTAACCGCATTGTAATTTGTTGCAGTGGCCACAGGAAATGAATATACCTTCCATACTTGAGGGAACCTGACTTAGTAGATCTTTTGTGTCCTTGGAGAAGGCGATGTAATCTGATGGGTGAATCTGGAATAATAAATCGGACACGATTGGGTTGGTTTCATTCTTCTTCCTCTCTGGGAGCCAGTCAGCCCAACAAAACATAACATCTGCCTTTTCCAGGGCAGGGCTACACAGGTGTACCTGGGGCTACTGGGTTTGGCTGGTTATATCTGTACAATTGTGTGGTTCAGTATTAGGAGGCTCATTTGCCTTTCATGCGAAACTATATTCTCCAGTGGCTTTTTATCAGGAAAGGTGATATTTTGGTTCCTATTGACTGTTTCTTGAATTATTTCTCTCGTGTGTAATCCAAGCATGGTAAAAGGGTGAACTCAAAGATAATGGATTGAACAAAAATGATGCAACCTTCTCTTCCAGCTCCAAATTCTGTAAGGAATGGAAAAGATAGATGAAGAAAATCAAACTGCATGGAAAACAAGAGGGGAAACTTTCCAGGGACCAGCAATTATGACAAAAAGGTCTGCATGTCATAGGACCAGGTGAAGAAAGTCTACTGTAACTAAAACTAGAACAGTGATTTTTTTGCTGTAAAATATAGGAAAGAGACCCTGAATGCTCATTGCCCCAAAGGGATAGATGCTATCAGCAGGGAAATGTTCAAAGTTCAAATAAATTAACCAATTCAGGTACCAGAGCAGGAATATCTAGATGGTTTGATTCTTCCTCACCGCCCCTTCAGCCAGATGATAGTCATGGCAGTGTCTCTCGCCCATGGGAAGAAAATGGCGAGGAGGGTGAGAGTAAGAAAGTAAGGAAAGACCCCACCTTCAGGGTCTAGCGGTATCTGGGAAGAATGAGGAGAACCTGCACCAGAACACTATCTACCAAGGTATAACCAGTGATACCTTCTATCCTTCCTCAAAACAGGTTAAGATAAGTGATAGGATGTAGGCCTAACAGGGGATGTCTTCTATAGAGATAAGCGAAAAATGAAGAATGCCAAACTTGAAAGAAGGCCACTGTGAAAGAGATGGAAGAAAGGCAACAACAGATGGTCACAATTTCTGAGAAAATGGAGTTAGTAGAGCAAGAGGATTAGGGCTTTACAATAGGTTATGATTTGTGTTGTGAAAGAAATGTGAAGGTTTCATACACTTAAGTATGAATAAACTGGAGATTATGGAACCTGCTGAAATAATAAAACGGCTAAATCAAGTTTGCTGAAAAACAAATTAACAAACTGGAAAACAGAGCTATGAAATTCTCTATAATTAAGATAAGTGAAAGATCCAGAATTCTAATTTTTATCTAATAAGAGTTCCAGGGCACCTGGGTGGCTCAGTCGGTTAAGTGGCTGACTTTTGATTTCAGCTCAGATCATGATCTCAGGGTCCTGGGATAGAGCTCTGCATCGGACTCAGTGCTCACTGGGGAGTCTGCTTTGGGATACTCTCTCTTCCTCTGCCCCTTCCTCCTGCTCTCTCTCTCTCTCTCCCCTTCTCTCAAATAAATAAATAAATCTTAAAAAAAAAAAAAAAGAAAGAATATAGAGTAGGGAAGAGAGGCAGAGCATTTAAATAAGTCCGCAAAGAAGGCTTGATGGAAAGCGCCTACAAATAGTATGAAATTTATGAATAGAAGAGATAAGGAAAGAAGCCTTAAAATCTTCCAGACAAAACAAATAGAATGCCTGCAAAGGAGGGAGACTCAAACCAACATCAGATCTCTCAACAGCACTGTATTAAAAAGGAAAATCAAAAGACAAGTAGGATGGTGAACCTTATATTAAGATTCATAAAATGCAAATAAAAACAATAACGAGATGCAATTTTTAAGCCAGCTCGGCAAAAATAAATATAAGTATGATACCTATTGTTGAGGGCATAGAGCCATAGGACCTACTCTGTACCACTAAGGGAAGGTAACTGGTTTGTCCACTTCGGAAAACAATTTGGTCATGTCTGGAATAGTTACAGATGCACATAACGTAGCCCTAGGATTCCACTCTGAGACATTCACTCTAGAGAAAGTCTTGCCACGGGACATCAACAAGACTCAGAAGAGAATGTTCAGAGCAATTGTTAAAATAGAAAATTCTATTGTTAAAATAGAAAAATTGGAAGCATGCATTAGAAAATGTATTAGAAAAATGAGTAGTTAACTTGGGTTCTTTTCTTTCTCTCTCTCTCTTTTTAATTGTGTTATGTTAGTCCCAATAGAATACATCATAGTTTTTGATGTAGTGTTCTGTGATTCATTGTTTGTGTATAATACCCAGTGCTCCATGCAATCCACCTCCTTAATACCCACCACCTGGCTCACCCATCCCCCACCCCCTCCCCTCTGAAACCCTCAGTTTGTTTCCCGGAGTCCATAGTCTCTCATGGTTCATCTCCCTCTCTGATTTCTCCCCGTTCATTTTCCCCTTCCTTCTCCTAATGTCCTCCATGCTCTTCTTTATGTTCCACAAATAAGTGAAAAGAAGGCCCATATGCAACCCGATGCTCATAGCAACAATGTCCACAATAGCCAAAATGTGGAAAGAGCTAAGATGCCCTTCAACAGGCAAATGAATAAAGAAGATGTGGTCCATATACACACTGGAATATTACGTAACCATCAGAAAGGATGAATGCCCAACTTTTGCATCAACTTGGATGGGACTGGAGGAGATTATGCTGAGTGAAATAAGTCAAGCAGAGAGAGTCAATTAACTTGGATTCTGTTTATAAAAAGATTATTATAAATGAATCTGATGAGATTATGATTAAGCTTGAGCTTCACATTCAGCATGGGGATGACTTTCACCAATGTAATGTTGAATGAAAAAAGCAAATTGTCAAAAGAAAATATATTCAGTAAGATATAATTTATATAAAATTGGAAACAACTGAAAAAAATACCAAGTATTGATTCAGGATACATATGAAGTAGATAAAACCTAACAAAATGCATGGAATGATAAGCACCAGATGCAGGACAGTGTTTACCACTGCAGGAAAAAGAGGAGGATGCCATCACTAAGGAAACAACAAATCAAAAGAAGTAACTACAGAACATTTGAATCAGACAATTAAAATCTTAATCAAAGATATTGAAACATATAAATCCCATATATGTTGGGTATATATATCCAACAGAGAAATACCATTTTCTTTAATTCACATTAAACATGTACAAAAATTGAGCGTGTAGTAGGCCTGTTTCCCAACCTGTATAGTATGTGGGTCCTGTATACCAGGGGCCAGACGTTTGGGGATTATAGCCTGACTCCTACCAGCGTCCTAATCTGGGGGCTCTATTTGCCCCCAGGAGATGTGCAAATATCGTTTTCTATATGTAACATGACACCAAAAGATTTGGGAAGCAGATGCTTGACCATAAAGGAAAGCTCAATAAATTTCAGGCCTCATGCAGTGACTACAATGGAATAAAATTAGAAACCGAGGATAAAAAGAACCACCCTCAAATCTATACACTTAAAAATTAAGACTACAAAGAGACATTTCAATAACTCTTGGATTAAAGGGAAAATCCAAATAGAAGTAACATTATTTAGAATGGAACAAAAAAGAATACTGTGTATTAAGACCCATGGAATGGAACCAAAGAAGGAAATCTGTAGTTTAATTAATCAATTTTAAATTTAATTATTTATTTTAAGTTGTCTTTCCACCCAGTGTGGGTCTCAAACTCATGACCTCAAGATCAAGAGTCGCATTCTCCACCACCAAACTGAGCCAGCCAGGTGCCCTGGAAATCTGTAATTTAAATGTACTTTTTTAGAAAACAAGAAAGAAAATAAGTGCCTAGACTATTAACCCAAGGAGCTAGAAAAGTAACAAACCCAAGGAGAGTAAAAGAAAGAAAATACTGTAGATAAAATGGGAAACTCAGGAATATACATCTGATTTTTTTTTTAAGATTTTTTTTTTTTTAAAGTAATCCCTACACTCAGCCTGGGACTCGAATTTATAGCCCGGACTTCAAGTCACATGTTTCCACAACTGAGCAAGCCAGCGGCCTCCATCTTACATTTTTATTTGCTAACTCTGGCAACCCTAAAATTAATGAAAATAGAAAATGAAGTTAGGTTATTTTTGGGGTGGGGAACAAGCAATTAAATAAATTTTTAGAAAGCTTAATCAAAAAAGAAAAGATAAACTTGACTTTGGGATAGAAAGAGACATTATAGAGATTTTTCAGTTATTAGAGAATACCATGTGTAATTTGTGTGCCAATATATTTAATGAGATGGACAATTATTGCAGATAACTTGAATGTCAAAAATTGAATCCACAATAAGTAAAAAATCCAAAATACACCAACAACCACAAAAGAAATTGAAATGACTGTCAAAGGAATACCCACTAAAGAGGTCCATGGTCTAAATGCAGTCTGTGTTTTACAGTGAATTCTCCCAGGCAAAGAACAGATAGTTCCCATCCCATCCAAGCCTTTTCAGAGCACAGAATCAAATGGAAAGTTATGTGACTCATTTTATAATCCTGATGACAAGGACAACACAAAAGAAGAAACAGACCCAGTCCCATATAGGAGCACAGAAGAATCAATCACTCACTCAACAAGCAAATCTAATTTAGATGTGTTCTGAAAGAATAATGCATCATGACTTATTAAAATTTACCACAGAATGTAAGAATCATCTAAATTAAAATTGTTAACTAGTTTACCACATCAACAGATTCATTTACCAAGTGTTTAATGAGCTCCTGTTACCTACCAGGCACTGTACTGGGAACTGAGAAAACAACAGCAAACCAGCAGCTTTAAAAAATGTTTAAGTCAACTTTATCTGAAACCCTATCATAAGAATCAGAATTCAGTAAATCTTTCATTTGAGTAAAAATGTAATCACTTAAGTAATAGTAATTTCCTAAACTAAAAATGAGCCAAAATTCAAAATGAATTTTGAACAGAGACTTTTTTTTTTTTAAAGTCTCTAGTTCATGGGCACCTAGGTGGCTCAGTCAATTAAGCATCTGACTCTTGATTTTGGTTCAGGTCATGATCTCAAGGTCGTGAGACTGAGCCTTGCGTTGGGCTCCACGTTGGGCATGAGCCTGCT